TAAATGAATATATATATATGCATATATGAATGAAGTTCTACTACCTAGGAATTATTTTTAAATGTCTTAAAATGTAAGTCCAAGACATTTTTGACCCTTCACTTGCAATGCAGTTCAGTTTTTCCCAATAATGAGAATGAAACTGAACTCTTATAACATATATTAGATAAGAGTTGACATCAAAATAAAGGTGTAGCAGTAAAACCTTAGCTACCCATAACAACAAAGTTTACAGGTAAGACCAAAATAGCTTCTGCTCTATAAATGGCTATACCTGTCATATTTATAGGACAGCTCCATATCACTTTACAGAGCTTCATACAGCTAAGCAAAAATGAGCTGAATATTCAAAAGAAACCTATGTGTATCAAATATTTCCCATTATTTTATACTGCAAATATAACTGAACTATCATTATTAACCTCCATGTTATCTACATTAGTGTTTTTCAGTAAAGATTAGTAATTGCCCCATGTTAGCCATGGTTTGAATGTCTGCCCCTCCAAAACTCACACTGACATTAAATCTCCACTGTAATTGTACTAAGATATGGAACCTTTACAAAAGTGACCAGGCAAGAGGGGCTCCACCCTCATAGCTAGAGATCCACACTTTCATAGGCAGAAATCTGGCCCTTATAAATGGGTGAGTACAGCCCCTCTTGCTTCTCTCTTGCTGTATTTTCACAATGTGATGACAAGGTCCTTGACAAATGCTGCCAGCTTGATACTAGACTTCCTGTCCTCCAAAACCACGAGCTAACACATTTCTGTTCATGATAAACTACCTGACTTCTGGTATTCTGTCACACAAGCATAGGCTAAGACTTTACTTAAGCAATGCTTTTTCCAAATGGACACTCAGATTACTTTTTTCTCCTTTTTTTTTTTTCTGGCTCTTTATTTCTTTACGCTAACTTCTTATTCTTTCTACAGATTGAAATTTAACAAATTTGTGCTTTTGTTATGGAGGGGTCAGGGGACTGCATGCAAGCATTACTGTTAAAGTTATAGTACTATAATAACTACATAATAAACACCAATACATCAGGCATAGAGCTAGATATTTATACATATTAAGATCTCATTTAATCTTCACAACAGGCTAGGAAAAAGACACAGTATTATATTCTCTCTCTTACAGAAGAGGAGCTAGAGACAGAGGAGATCAGTAATTTATGAAGGTCACAAAACTAGTAAGAGAGCTGAAATGTGACCTCAGGTCTTCTGAATCTACATAGTTCATTACCACTAAATGTATGTATGTATGTGTGTGTATGTGTGTGTGTGTGTGTGTGTGTGTGTATATATATATATACACACACACTCTCTCCTAGTATAAAAACTGCACATATTTTATAAGCTTTTATAAAAATTTTGAACAAATACATTATAACATTAAATGATAAAAACACAGTCCTACACTATGATACAGGACACACATTATGACATACAACATCATATAATATACGTATCACATGAAATATATAGATAGATAAGACAGACAGAAAGATAGACATGTCTTTGTAAATCAGGAATCTATCTTGTTATATTTCCCACTAGTGAGTTTGCATGTAATGGATATTTAGTAATGTCAGTTAAATTGAACAAAGCCACAGTCATCAATTCCTTTCTCTCTTGTGAGTCTCCTACTCCAGATTTTGCTTGTGTTTCTTTCACAGGAGAGCTACAAGCAAAATATGAATATAAAATTATAAATCAGGAAGTCTCCCTCATCTGGCAATTCAGAATTCTACCAAAGCTTAATATTCTACAATTGTAGAGATTTTAAAAGTTAGATTAATTCAAAGATTTCCTTTTAATTAAAATGTGCATATTTGCCATGGCTAAAGAAAGCAGGGGACAACAAGAAACAGGATTTCTAGTGTACCACCACCCCCAACACAGAGGTAGGGTTGTCCGGGCTGCCATACCACTAATCCCAGGAAAGAGGAAAGGGCTTCTGGGCCACCATACCACCGGTCCCAGAGCAGAGGAAGTGGCTTCCTGGCCGCCATACAACCACTCCAGCACAGAGGAGGTGAGCCGCAGGGGGACCATAGCACACAACCCCATGCACCCCCTATCAAAATGAGGAGACACGTAAACAAGTCTCAAAACCAGACTTGCAGTTCACCTAGAGCAATCCTAAAGGGAAATGAGACTGAACATGCTGACACCTAACCACCTGGACTCCCTGAACTGGAAACAAAAGAGGATCTGGAAAAAATGAAATCAGAAATAATTTCTCAGATAACAGCAGAGATTGTGCACATAGTGCAAGACATGATTAATAAATCTAGAGAGGAGCTGAGGAACATAATGGAATCCAACA